TTTTTTGTGCGTTCTATATATTCATGTCTCTTTCTTTCTTTTGTTGTGATTTGAAGAATCTTTGTTGTTGTTTATTTGAGGTCATTTTTGCCTGCTTCAGTCTGTCAGCAAATTGGTCGTCGAGGTTGCTGGACGCGGCACCTCGATTATTGGGAGAATTGGTGAATTATCTTTTTAAAACTGTTGTGTGAGGTGCTTGTCACCCTGACTAAAGTGTTTTAAATATTTAGTTTAGTGTGTGTGTGTGTGTGTGTGTGTGTGTGTGTGTGTTTGTCTCTCTTGTTTTTATGTTTGTTTTTTTGCTTCTTTTTCACAATTGGGGTGGCCATCTGCAGAGGATCGGCGTGTGTTGGTGGTGGGTTTCTCGCCTGAATCCTGTGTTCACTAACAGATGTGGTGTGCTGTGGTGTGTGCACATATGATTGCTGTCCATCCTGCTTAGGAGCGCCAGTCCTCAATTCTGAAATGGTAATGTCTATATGTGCTATTAAGGTGATTATTCTGTTTTTGATTTGTCATGGTGTTTTCATGTGTTAAAGTTGATATTTTTATTGACTGCAAATAAAGTTTTCATCTCTTCTACCCAACTTATGTCTGATATCTGACTCAGTAAACGAACCTTTGAGCCTTGCTCTAATGTTAAGGGCATTTCCCTGGAAATAGGCCCCGAGGTGGCGTAGTCGGTATTACTAAATTAGTGCTAAGTTCTAATCGCCACATATTGAAATTCAAAACTTACCATGCATCATCTTGGAAATAAAGCTTCATGTCTTCAAGTCCGTACCGTATGTAGTCAGCGTTATTTCTCTGAAGTTATGTGTATATTTTAAATGTCCAGATTGAGCTACATCTATTTCAGACTCTCCAAAATTCTATGGCGTTTTACTAGCATTATGTATATGCTGAATTAATCATTATTTAACCAACTTTAATTTAAATCATTACCTGCTTCAAAATGAATGCTGTTAATGAAATCATTTTCGAAACATTTGCATTCAAATAATAAAACTAAAATTACATGAATTAAAGTATATGTGTATACAAAGCATAAACCTTTTTTCAAATTTCAGAATGAGCATATGTTGTGGATTTCGTCCGTCCAGTGTTTATCATGTTCATCTTATGTTCGCTACTCTAATATGAATGTAACGTTTTTAATACACAGGAGAAATTCCCGACATTAAACAAATAACTGCTCAGGACGTTTGTATTGTGAGAATGTTCGGGAGACTTCAGATATAAAAACGCTGACTCTTTAGGTGATTTTTTCACATTAAAATCGTACGATTTCCTATTAACTCAATAGAATGTATGGGAATACTAGGGAATACCAATATGGCGTCGTGGTGGCTTCACTTTTATGATGTCATGAGCAATCCAGCACTCTATTATAGATCAATGGATGTAATTTACACTATGCACAATTTCATATTATTTACACGATGGATGTCGCGCTCGCTCTCTCTCTCTCTCTCCTTTTATATTTTGTTAACATGTTGGGCTGCATGTCTGTTAATTTTTCTTAAATACATTAACTCCGAATGCCTAATGGTTTATTGCGTGTGACTGAAAAAGCTACACGAATCCGTTGGTAATGAGTGCGGCTGGAGTAAACAATGGTAAAAGCCAGCGCTGCTTGCTTTGTATATCCACATTTCTAGCTCTTCCAGTTTCCCCGTTTGAATGCCGAATAAAGACTACTGCCACCTGCTGATATGGGAGAGTATGTTCTCTCACGCAAGCGCAGAGTGTGCACCCCAGCTAACAATTTTTGGTTCCCAGAATGTTAGTTTTTGGTTCCCAGTACGTTATTTTTTTATGGTATGTTTTTGGTTAGCCAGGAAAGTTTTCTTAGAACGTTAGTTTTTGGTTTGTAGAACGTTATTCTAATGTTAATCAAACATTATTATAACGTTCCCCTAACCTCTTTACTCCGATATGGTTACCCCGCTGTACGTCAGTAATCATACAGCACACTCGCGGCTCAGTATAGAATAAGCATGGAAGTGATCTGTATGAACGCCTGATCAGTATTATAAAAACCATCCCTTGCTATTGCATCTATTGTTTAATTAATAAAAATAATCTGAGCACATCAACCATCATATGTAATATTAAATAAGATTAAATTTGTCCATTTATATGTACGATTATGGGGTACCCAGATTTTACATTTCTTTAGCACCAAAAAAAATGACTTCAACACAATTTATTGTTTATAAAATATGACATTTATTCACAGATATTAAAAAAATAATAAACAATTACTTGACTTAAAGTAGGATATCATACATTCATTTCTTACCACTAAAGTGCAGTTTGTACAGTTTTCTTTTGATCCGAAAACAAAACTTCTCGATTAGAATCTTCAGTTAGGCATGTCAAATCCATCCAAAATCATATTTACTCACATAATAATATTAATTTTAAGTAATCATTCAATAAAGAGATCGATATTTCTATCTATTATTTCTTGGTTTTCAAAAAAATAACCAAACAGGAACCAAACACTAACATTAGGGGAACGTTCTGTGTTTGCTGGTACGCTAGTTGGCCGTTGGCTGTAGTCTGTCCAATGTGTTCTATTGCAAATATTTTGCCCCGACAGACGATGTGAGACGACGTCACGCTATTGGCTTTCCTCAGTGCTAGCTCTTCGGTGTTAGTTTGGTGTGTCCCTACTCTTAGAACTTAATAGTTACTATTTCAATAATTCAACAACATTTGCATGTTCACGGTTCTCTGATGGTGGTAATTGGTCTCATGACATGCAATTAAATAGAATAAATATTTAATCTTTTATTAAGTGTTTTATTTTGACTTTGTAGCTTGACTTTAAAGTGAACTCGTTTTATTGTGTTTATTTGTGATAGTGTCTCAGACCACAGTCAAAATGCCTATGCCTCTTTATGCATTGATTTCTTCACTTTTAAACATTCAAACCCTTGAGGTTTTATTTTGGTGAAATACTGGTAAAATGCTGTAAACTTCTGTCCACAAAAGTTTTGTCTAAGAAATAATGCAAGCATGTAAGTAAAGTAAACCTAGCACACGCTGTATTGCCAAATGCACATTAAATTCACAGCACAAGCAGAGATGGATTCACTGCATTTACTGTGAACCGAGCTGCTCTGAGGCGCTGAACACAGGATCATTTTGCAATTATCATGCAGCCCCATTTATTTAAATTTTACATTCAGTGTAATTAATTATTAGTTTTTCATCAACCCACGAACCCCAGTTCCCTCATGATCCCCCGTTTGGGAAACCCTGGTCTAAAACATCAACTTGCTAAAATCAGTGGAGCAGTGATAATCATGCCACCAAATGCATAAATGTAAACCCATAAAATGGCCTGGAAAATTTGAAATGACGACCACCATCGATGATCAGCATGAATGCATGCATGTATCGCGCAGTAGCTGAAGCATTCTGGATTGGATTGCTTTGATTTACTGACAAATATATATTTTCAGTTGTGGTATAAGGTATAATGTAAATGTGGATTGTTTAAATTCCATTTCTAAAACAACAGTTCCCTATTTAAAACAATAGGACATCAGATGACATGATTATTGCTTGATTTTCAATGCATGTCTTCTGTGCAAATTGGTCAATTTCCAACAGATATGCTTTTGAAGTGCTCCATACTGTGAATGTCTGAACGCTTTGGCATAGCATCTATATGAGTCTTTTCCATACTCTAGTGCTGCTCAAGTAGAATTACTTTTGATGTTCTGGCTTTGTTCTAAACATCAGCTCAAAGAAGTTTGCGCTTAAGTGTCTGGCACACTTTTGCAAGATGCAAGCATCCTACATTATATTGGCATCAATCAACTTGACTTTCTTTGAGAGTCAAAAGGCATGAATGTGATTAAAAAAAAGTGATTTTATTCAGGCACATATCAACACTTGAAGCAGCTGCAGCCATGGCTCACAGCTGCTTCTTCAGTCTTGATAACTTCAAAACTCTCATTAATATTCAGTCATCCGAATAGAGAAGATAACCATGCCTATCAGGAATGTAGAAGAAACAAACGGAACTTGTAGCTCTCAAACTGTGAAGGGTATGACAGATGAAATATTAAAGTCCAATCATCAGGTCCTTCCAAGAAAAAAGATTGAGTAAATGTGTTCTTAAAAAATGACCAGAGGAGCATGTTGCCATCCTCAGGAACTCCCATCTGTTTCATCTATTGATGTTGACAAGCATGTCATATTATGGCAGGACATCTCTAGCTCCAAAAAAAAAAAAGAAAACTATTTCAAAGAGCTTAAACTGTTGATGTGATTTATTGACGGGGAAGCAAAGCATTCACTTAAAAAAGAGCACACAGCCTCTAGCAGTAGAATCTGCTGGTAGGTCTACTGATGTGTCAGAAGTAATAGATGCTCAAGATCAAAGGTGTCATAATTCACAAATGTACAGATCTCGAAACGTTTGAAACTTAATTTTGAGAAGGCTTCCCTACAAAAATAAACTAAAATATAGTGGCAAAAGTACATATGTTGTCAGTTTCCTCACCTGTAAATAAGGTAGCGTCTTGCACAGGGTCTGTCCGAAGAACCAGGTTTCTGTAATGTCCACCACAAGACTCGCAGGAAGACATGTGATTGTGACCAGGATGTCTGCGAAGGACAGGTTCACGATGAAGTAGTTGGTCACTGTGCGCATTTGATGGTTTTTCCAAACTGCAAAACAAACTGAAAAGAAAGATGCCTTGAAGAATACTTTGTGGCTGTAAAAACCATAGCCAGACGTAACAAGTACATTTCTAACTACATTTAAGTTATTAAAGCAGGTGGTATTTTTTAAATAAAACGGAATTAGTCCTATGTTTCTAGCACAACTAGAAAACTAGAAAGGATCTCACTTAGGGTGTAATTTTAAATAGAATGAACAAAAAGCAAAGTAATGAACAGTAATGTAATGAAGGAGGGGATAATGAACAGCAGAATTTGCTCATTGGAAAAACGTGGCTGTTCCTAGATTTAAGCTCCAAAAACATTCCTGTACATACATTTGCAATGCTGAGCACTCAGGCTGTGAATCCTGTGAAACACTAGTCATGACACTCAACAAAAAGCTCAAAGACTCGTAGAAACAAGATTAAATGGAAATGCTTCAGAAAATGCTTTGCTTATCTCATGTTTGCTTAACACTATCGGTTAGGTTTAGTGAAGGGTTTAGTGTAGGTGGAAGGTTATGTTATTTTCAAGCGCAATAGAGCATTAACCTTTCAGCGTCACTCACCAGAGATTTACTTTTCGAACTGCTGCGATACATACAAAAATCACTGTAATAAAATATAAAATCTGTTGCAGAGAAAATCCTTTTAGTTTTTAGGAAATATTTTTAGTTTTTTGTGCCACTCACTGGACATTTCACTTTAAAAAAGGTGCAAGGACTTCAATCAATATGTGAATCTTTACTTGATTTGAACAGCTTGATTTACATGAACTGTATTTGGATTTTGATGACATCTAAAGAAAACTGCACTAAAATAAGATATGATTGAAAATGCTCATCCTCTATCATCAAAGACTATCTCTGCTATCTTGATTTGTATGTTGTTCTAACTCATTACGAGTAATTGTTATTAAGCTATATGCACATTCTCAGGAATAACACGTGAAATATCTGTGGATTACCAACTTCCTTGACACAGTCACAGATAAGCAGCCAAGTGTCATCAGCTGATTAATGTTGATTTTATTAAGACTATTAAGTGCGGCACTTAACAAAATCAATAATTCAGAGGCCATTGTAAAAGGAAAGAAATCTGTTTTGATGCAAATGTATTATGTTTTGATGCAAACTCCTTGCTATTACTCAATATGTGTCAACACAGATATCAGATACAAACTTAACGTGTACTGTACCAAAGATATTAACAAACCCAGCATTTGTCTACAGTTAAGAATGAACTTATAATACAATATGGGCCATACAAGGTAATAGGAAAGACTAGGGTGAGTTGACACACTGGAAAATTGTCACAAGGCACAGAAAACTGAATCTTCCCTTTAGAAATATTCACTGCTGTAAGTGATGACTAGCCGTGGAATCCCTGTATTTCACATGTGATAGGTGAAATATGAGAAGACTATTAATATCTTATTGCTGGGTTGCTTCTCAACATTCAACTAACGATTATGTCATTCACAAAAGCCCACACTGACAATCACATATTTGTCTGCTTTCATTATTAATGGTCTGTATTGTGACTCAGTCCTGAATAATTGTTGTACACCAGCATGTCTTGATAAGCCATTCTTACCTAATGTATGATAGGTGGCAAATCTTCCTTTTTTTCTTATTTATCAGAACAGTCTGGTCTTTCAAGCCTCTTTTCTGATCACTGTTTCCTTTGTGAAACCCATGAAACTACAGAGAGTTTTGTGAAGTTATACAACTGAATGTTTTGTCCCCAAAACTGGGACTTGTGAAGCAACCTGAGAATGAATGAAGACACAGGTGTTGAATCAGCTTAGAGGGCAGAGCAGAAGATGGGGTGATGTAATGACCTGAAGCCCCAGGCAATATTAGTTTTGGCGCATTTCACAGTTTGGCTGCCAACTTTCCTCATTCCCAAGTGACATGCCCAGCGGTCAGTGAATCCCAGCTTACAGGTGTTATGGACAACACTATAGCTAGCGCAGGGCTGTGAGCACCACAGAAATTTAGGGGGATAAGTCCCCTCCAATAGTTAAAAATGGCCAAAACTCATCAATGCCAAAATTACTTGCCAAATAAATCAAAGAAGGCGGGCTTTACCGTTCACAGAGACATAGCATGAACATTAGCAATTCTTTAGTGAAATAGTGTGAGGTAAGATTCAGGTACACTGTAAGAAATGACCGTGAATTTAACGGTAAAAGACTGTAAAAATGCTACAGTAAAAACCTGCTAAATGGATAATGGTAAATTCCCCTACTATATACGGTGAAAAACTGTATTGGACATTAATTGTACGGTAGCATGCCGTTTTTGGAAGTGAAAACGACCATATAATTTACAGTGAATAACCGTAAATTGACATTCCCAGAATTCCCTGCGTTACATTTCAAATTTGATGTTTTTTTGTTGAAATAACTATGTTTCTTAGTTTTTTTCTTATCAGTTTTGTATATTAGGGTTGTGTGTTACACCTAATGTTGTTAAATGATTGTTTATTGCATTATTTCAGTTTCATGTGTGTTACCATGATGGTGTTTAGTGTTTGTGTGAATGACACTGTGCACCTTCTATATATGTTATTATTTAAAGGCTGCTTGTGATGGGCTTTGGTTCATCATGTGACTTTCTCATCACCACCTGCATTGGGTGGTTATCAGTGTATTACAAAGGTACAAAACAGATTTCAGTACTTCAATAGGTTGGTATATTAACATTATATCAGTTAATGAAATTACAGTATTCAACTGTAAATTTAAGTTAAAACCGTAAAACCTAAAACGTTGTTACCGTATTTTTTACGGTAAAATTCCGGCAACCACAGCTGTCGTTTTTTTACTGTAAATTTTATGGAATCTTTTTCACAGTGTAGCAAAACATTTAATATTTGACATACTTTTTTTGTCAAATGTGAAATGACCAATATCTGTGATGCAAACTTGACTTTTTTGTCAAATGTTGCCACTTTGAACTGAAAATATAGGATGAATCATTTGGGCGATTCATGTAAATCATAACTGAATCTGATGAGACAAGAAACATTTTGCAGTTTTGTGTTTTCAACATACTGTATTATGCACACATTCACTCTTATTCGTCTATTAGCTATTGAAAATAAAAATATTTTTATATTCGTAGTGAATCTTCTTGCCAGGAAAATCTGGACTTGAGGTTTGGGGATTTCCAGTTGGCGCATGAAGACGCTTTGATTTAACACTGTTACTGCGCATAGGGCATTTTCAAAGCATCCTCACAGTGGTAGCACGTCTAGCTCTATTTCTGTCTTTCCACTTGTTTCATGTGTTCATCACATGACCACCCCTGCTCTGGTTGTTTGATGAAACCCCCCAGCACATTCGTACACTTCCAGGAAAAAAAAAATTGACACTTATCAAAGCTCTGCAGTAGCTTTGCGGCAGAACTCTCACCTGCCAGAGTATTGCATAACTGCACAATTGCTATAAGATGATATAAGTAACCCTTGAAAAGAGAGCATAGAATGAGAAGAACTAATGTTTAAAACTCAAAGCGGTAATTCAATCCCCATCATTCTGCTAACAGCTCCACTTTTTAGAATGGAATTACTGGTAGACGTAATCACAGAACAGGACATAATGTTGACACATTCATCTATCAAAGATGGTCACCTGTCTATGCCAGAACAAAAGGCATGATGGCTACAACTAGATCTGGATTTCACACGTCTGAATACTGCACAAGATTTCAAACATCTAATCAAACTATTAAACATTTCCAAAGACCTCATGGTTCAAACACACATACATTTTTTGTACAATTGGAAGATCTGAATTCATTGCTAAATTGACAATATGACAGTTTCTTTCTTTAGAAATCATACAGGGTGATATGAGGGTCCTGTGTGGTTTCTAAAAACTGGTAAGAACCATTGTGACAGCACTGACAAATTGATAATTATTAATTCATCATTCAATTAAAACGTACAAATGAAATTTATATAAGTAAATTTTTGTCAATTGTCTTTTTGAGACAAATTTTCTCATCATTTTTATTCAAATAATTTTTATTTGTTAATGCAATATGGGATTTTATCTGAGTACTGAACTCCAACCAGTCATCAGATGGTCTGTTAAATTGTGTCTCTAAAGTAACATACAGGGCTGGACTGGGGTTAAAATTCAGCTCTGGACAAATCCAGCCCATCTGGCCCACAAGTTCCCCGTGAATGTTTTGCTGGGTTTTAGGGCCTTCAATTGGAGTAAATAAATGAATAATAAAGCAGGACAGAAACAAATAATTATAAATATTAGCCTACTGAATAATGCATTTTTGTCACATAGAAATGTACTTGACAGTAAAGCATTGATTTTGAGCTAGAATACAGAAAATGTACTGCTATTAAATTCTGTCATCATTTCCTCACCCTCATGTCGTTCCAAACCTATATGACTTACTTTCTTCTGTGGAACACAAAAGAAAATATTCTGTAGAATGGTACCAAACCATTTTGGTTACCCTTGATTTCTACTGTATGGACAAAACATTCTTGAATTTCTCAAATTATCTTATTTTATGTTATGTTATGATGGTGAGTAAATGATGACCATTTTAATTTTTGGTGAACTATCCCTTTAAGAACTTTAACATTTGTAAAATAGTTAACACCTAATTTATATAAGACACTGATATTTATCTTTAATCAGGTTCTTACTGAATTAACATTTTACTTCAATTAAAATGAACTAGACTTAACATTTAAAGAGAAATAATTCTTTGCCCTAATGAAATTCACTATAGTCCTTACAGAATCCTGAGTTTAACTGACTATATATATATATATATATATATATATATATATATATATATAGAGCCAAAAAAA